GGTATTAAAAGACGGCGGTTTCTTACTAACAAGGGGACAACCGCTCTCAAGAAATGATTTTACAAATGCAGAGAGACACAATTTAGCAATAGTTCTTGAGAAACGCACGGAAAAGGAACATATTGTACTCTTAAAGAAAAAAGAAAGAACGAGGAGAAAGGCAATAGTTATTTTTGTGAACAATTACGAATTCTCTTGGTTAGAGCAACTAACATCGATCTTAAACGACGAGAATAATATCGCGAGAATAATTTTAGTGGGGCAAGAAGATTCGGAATGCGGTTTATTAGGTCTCATAAATTGTTTGAGGAGAGAACCAGGTGGAGAATTAATAAGAGGTGTGTTGATCCAAGACGAGAAGGCACCGAAATTTTCTTTAGACGAGCCGTTATACGCGGAGCAACTCCAGATCGATCTCATCATAAATGTTTTGCGTCCGGGAATGATATGGGGATCATACAAACATCTTCCATTAGCACCTTTAGCGCCAAAACTCTCATATCATGCTTTAGTCAATCAAATGGTATGTATCAGACTATTGTGATATATAAGAACTATTGTACATTACGATGTACTGTCTCTCTTGATGAAAAGTACAATTAATTCAAGTACAATTAAAAATTATTTTAATTAATAATTATCGACTTACTTTTCCTATATGCCTTCCAGCTGCCATGTATCTAAATGCAGACTCGACTTCGTCTCTTTGGAAAACTTTCCTGCTAATTGGCTTGATGGCTCCGCTAATAAGACCATTGACTAGCATCTTATTCAATACCGTTTTTTGTTCAATACCACGCTTTGTAGCTGAAAATAAGTTGTCCACCATAACGCTGTAAAATGTAATACCTTTCGAAAAAACTGACAAGTCCAATATATTATTAGCCATAAAATCAAATTTTCCAATTTCCAAGAAACGTCCTCTTCTCGCGAGACAACGAATAGAAGCCTGAAGTTTCTCTTCAGCTAATGAGTTTAATACGATATCTACGCCGCGACCGTTAGTCTTTCGGAATATCATTTGCTCGAAACTAGTGTCGCGCGAATTTCCAATATGATCGTCTGGAATAGATGGAAAAGTTTTTCTTATAAACTTTCGCTTTTCCGGAGTGCCGACGGTTGTGAATACTTCGCAGCCTTCGTGAAGCGCGAGTTGAATCGCCGCTTGACCTAATTACGGATTATATGTAAAGACAAAGATGAAGAAAGGCGACAAGATATTAATTCATTCTATGAATATTTTGTCGCCTTTCTTCATCTTTGTCTTTACTGGTACTGGCGCCGTAGGTCAAGCGGCGATTCAACTCGCGCTTCACGAAGGCTGCGAAGTATTCACAACCGTCGGCACTCCGGAAAAGCGAAAGTTTATAAGAAAAACTTTTCCATCTATTCCAGACGATCATATTGGAAATTCGCGCGACACTAGTTTCGAGCAAATGATATTCCGAAAGACTAACGGTCGCGGCGTAGATATCGTATTAAACTCATTAGCTGAAGAGAAACTTCAGGCTTCTATTCGTTGTCTCGCGAGAAGAGGACGTTTCTTGGAAATTGGAAAATTTGATTTTATGGCTAATAATATATTGGACTTGTCAGTTTTTTCGAAAGGTATTACATTTTACAGCGTTATGTTGGACAACTTATTTTCGGCTACAAAGGAACGAAGAATGGTATTGAATAAGGTCCTAGTCAATGGCCTTATTAGCGGCGCCATCAAGCCAATCAGCAGAAAAGTTTCCCAAAGAGATGAAATTGAGTCTGCAGTTAGATACATGGCAGCTGGAAAGCATATAGGAAAATTAAGTCTATAATTAATTAAAATAGTGTACGCTTCCGGATAATAAATCGCTACGTTTAATTTATTTTGAACAATACTTGATTATATTCTTGTACCGAACTCCTAATAGCTCCACGTTCTCAACGACTTAACTTTAACTGATATTACTCTCGAACTATTAGCACACGCTCTCGCTCCGATATTCACGCTCCGCTCCGCTTTCGCTCTCAACTCGCTCTGCTCCGCTTTCGCTCTCCACTCACTCATCCTATTCCCCACTGTACGTTTTTCGATATCAGCGCGACTCTGTTCAATTATACTAAATAGCTCCGATTTCCTAACTTATCGGCATTTATAATTCTCTTCTATTTCAGGCGCGTACAGCTTCGGCCATTCTGACCCGTTAGTTCGTCCCGAACTAACATTAGCTTAAGTAAATTTATTTACAAAAAAAAAACTATAACTTAATATAAACAACTTATTCTTTGCACTTATATCTATCTATGACAGTATATTTTCTTATGAACTAATTTTTCTTATAACATTATTCATCTTGATTTTCGTTCTCTGGGGCAATATTTGGCGCTACACGTATCCAGGGTTTAATTTTGTCAGCGGACAAAATTGTATTATATGGTTTTTGAGTTAAATTGTACCCCGGAACATCAGTAACCACAAACCGATTCTTATTTAATATTTTTTTGATCTGGTATGGCCCCTTGTATTTCGGTAACAATTTTTGATTTGTTCCTGGTTTATGCTGCAAGACTTTGATCAAAACAAGGTCCCCTACTGCATATTTGGTGGACTTCTTATGCCGCTGGTCGTATTTACTTTTATTGTATTCCTGTATCGCTTTGTTGGCTAGCTGAGCCGCATCTCTTAATTTATTTCGTTCTTGATCGAGGTTGCGGTCAATTTCGGTTAACTCGTCAATCAATTTACGCAACTCTTTATCGCTTTTATTCTTTTGGTCGTACCCGAGTAATAATTTACTAGGAGTTGTATTAATAGATTTATGTAATGTGTTATTTAGTACGTATTGCGCTTTTCCTAATGATTGATATTATTATTATACGTTTAGAGCTCATTGCACTAGATGATTAATAGATGATATAATTAAACTTGACACCTTGGCTTTCGACAGCACAATGTTATAATTAGTTGAACTCACAAAGGTGAGGCGGAGCAAAATATTGTTGTCAAAAGGATAAAACGACACATCGCAAACGATCTTTTCGAAGGTTATCTAGTACGGTCAAAATATACATATAGAATAATATAAATGAAAATAATAAAAATAAAATGACAAAATACAAATAATATAAATAATACAAATAATAAACAAGTACTATTGGAATAAATTAGGCCTTATTACTTGTCAAATCGGATAAAATAAATAAATTAGATGTGTCAAATGATATAAAAATAAAAATAAATAATAAAATAAATTAATATAAGTTACACTAAAATCACTAAAGGTAAATCCAGCGCAAACAATTGTTGTTATAATGCACAATAATGTATATGCAAACATCGCTGTGATTAACCTTTAGGAAGTTTTTCGATCGCAGTAACATAAGTCTCATGTAAGCACTCCGTATCCGTCTGCAAATTCAGGCTACTCTTTTGTCTTTTTATGTGTAACATTTCGGAGATGAGGCGTTTATTAAAATGAGATTCCTTATCCAAGACCTCAACCTCATTCCATCTGAACTCGTGATTATGAGATAATCTATGATTTCTTATGACCGAATGACTGGAAGTATTTCTAATAATCTTGGAGGACAGTAGTGTACGCTTCCGTATAATAAATCGATACGTTAATTTAATTCTGAACTATACTTTATTATATTATTGTACAGTACTCCTAACAACTTCACGCTTAATCGCTTGACTCTAACTAATACCACTCTTGAAATGTTCTAACACGCTATCGCTCCGAAAATCACGCACTGCTCCGCTTTCGCTCTCAACTCGCTCTGCTCCGCTTTCGCTCTCCACTCACTCATCCTATTCCCCACTGTACGTTTTTCGATATCAGCGCGACTCTGTTCAATTATACTAAATAGCTCCGATTTCCTAACTTATCGGCATTTATAATTCTCTTCTATTTCAGGCGCGTACAGCTTCGGCCATTCTGACCCGTTAGTTCGTCCCGAACTAACATTAGCTTAAGTAAATTTATTTACAAAAAAAAAACTATAACTTAATATAAACAACTTATTCTTAGCACTTATATCTATCTATGACAGTATATTTTCTTATGAACTAATTTTTCTTATAACATTATTCATCTTGATTTTCGTTCTCTGGGGCAATATTTGGCGCTACACGTATCCAGGGTTTAATTTTGTCAGCGGACAAAATTGTATTATATGGTTTTTGAGTTAAATTGTACCCCGGAACATCAGTAACCACAAACCGATTCTTATTTAATATTTTTTTGATCTGGTATGGCCCCTTGTATTTCGGTAACAATTTTTGATTTGTTCCTGGTTTAAGCTGCAAGACTTTGATCAAAACAAGGTCCCCTACTGCATATTTGGTGGACTTCTTATGCCGCTGGTCGTATTTACTTTTATTGTATTCCTGTATCGCTTTGTTGGCTAGCTGAGCCGCATCTCTTAATTTATTTCGTTCTTGATTGAGGCTGTGGTCAATTTCGGTTAACTCGTCAATCAATTTACGCAACTCTTTATCGCTTTTATTCTTTTGGTCGTACCCGAGTAATAATTTACTAGGAGTTGTATTAATAGATTTATGTAATGTGTTATTTAGTACGTATTGCGCTTTTCCTAATGCATTTTTCCATTTCGACGGTTCTTCCGCTAATTTTGATAGGGTAGATTTAAGAAATTTGTTTACGCGCTCTACTTGTCCATTTGCCCAAGGCGAGGCTACCGCCGTCATAATGTGTCTAATTCCTTTTTCTTTGATAAAGTTTTCAAAATTCTTAGAGGTAAACGCTGTTCCTCTATCGCTAATCAGTTTTTCGGGAGAACCAAATAGGTTAAAAAGCAACGATAAACATTCTATAGCTTCGTCCGCATTCGTCGATTTACAAGGATATATCCAAACGTACTTAGTATATGCATCTACGGCAACTAATACATATTTGAATTTGTCTATCGTTTCTTCAAGTGGTCCGAAATGATCAATATGTAAAGTGTACATTGGCGCAGTACTTTTGTCGAAGATTTCCATCTCCCCTTCTGTTTTACCAGCCGTAATGGAATAACTTAAACATTGAACGCAATTCTCAATGTGTTGTCTAACACGAACTTTTAGACAAGGAAACCAATAATGTTCTAATATACCGTATACAGTTTTATCAATACCTACATGCCCCATGTTATCATGATAGATGCGAATTATGTTACTAATCATATTTTCTGGTATAACAAACAATCGTTTGTCCTGATAATTCCGGAAAAGCAACCCATTAATGATGGTAAAATGTTTATTCTCTTTAAACTCCAATTCTGTCGCGATTTTTTTGAGCTCCGGGTCCAATAATTGTTTATACATCAGCTCATCCTCTACGGTAATTGCGTTAATTGTCATTACATTTCTGCTAAGGCAATCTACGTGAAGCATTCTTTTTGACTCGCGATGTATTAATTCGAACTGATAATTTTGGAGAATCAAACTCCATCGAGCAATGCGCGGATTGATATTAATTTTTTTCATAGCTAGCACTAAGGAGTTGCAATCCGTTACAATTTTAAACTTGATTCCCTGTAAATATACGTGAAATCGTTCCACTGCTTTTACAATTGCTAGGGTTTCCAACTCGAAGCTGTGATAATTTCTCTCAGCATCATTAGTGGCTTTACTGAAATATGCTATTGGCCCATAATAATTTTCAGCTTGTTTTTGTACTAGTATTGCTCCAAATCCATGACTACTAGCATCGGTATGTAATTCGGTTAAAGCCGCAGGATTATAGATGCACAATACCGGCGGAGACGCTCATTTCTTCTTTAAATTTATAAAAGATTCTTTACACTCCTCGTTAAAATCAAAAGATGCATTTTTTTTAATAACTCCTGCAGTGGTTTAGTTTTTAGCGCATAACTACCTATAAATTTACGGAAATAATTACTTAAACCTAAAAAGCTTTGCAGCTCTCTGACATTTCTTGGCATAGGATACTCAAGTATTGCTTGTACGTGACGTTTACATAATGTAATCCCTTTTTCGGTAACTAAATATCCCAGGTACTCCATTTCTGCTTTTAGAAACAAACATTTTGACAGGTTAAGCTCCAGATCGTATTTTTTAAGTATTATTAACACCTCTTCCAAAATTTGAAAATTTTCTTCAACACTTTCGGTTGCTATCAATAAATCATCTATGTAAACTAAAATTTTATTGCTACGAACTAGATCTTTAAAGATATCCAAAATACGCTTTTGAAATTTCGCGGGGGCTTCCGAGAAACCAAAAGGCAATTTTACAAACTCGTATTGTCCCGACGGAGTAGCGTAAGAAAAGTATTTGGTATCCTCTGTATGTATAGGTATCTGATGGAAACCATCCTTCAAGTCTAATTTGGTAAATATTTTTTTTCCATATAGTTTATCTAACTGGTCTTCAATTATTGGAAAGGGGTATTTTTGCGCGTGTATGCGTTGATTTAACGGTCGTAAGTCGACACACATTCTTTTTTTTCCATTACGTTTTGGCACCAGTATTACACGCGCGCAATACGGAGAAACACTATATTTTATTATCTTTCTTTTAAGCAAATCATCTACTATTTCTTCTAATTCCATTTTTTCTGACACCGACATCCGTCTAGGCGCGTAACGGAAAATAGAATTATCCTTCAAATAAACTCTAGCGCAATATTCATCCTCGACGGGTTCTATTTTTAACTGCTCTACCCTTTGAAAAATCTGAAAAAGATCCTTTCGATTGGCCCAAGGCATACTATCATCCAAATTTTCAATGATATCATACTTCTCTCGTTCTTCCGTTACCTCAATTGTAAAAATGTCATGCAGCCTTTCTTCTTCTAACTTTTCATTCTCGAAGCTGTAATTACCGTTATGATATATTAATTTTAATTGAGATTTATTAAAGAATTCCCTACCCAGCAAAATATCAAAATTCATGGTATTATCGTCAACTACCAACAATGTAATGTCAAACCAGACTATTTTTTTCTCATCTAACGCTATTTGGTCATATATTTTACCTAATACTGAAATAATTGTACCGTTAACTCCTGTTAATTTTACATTATTATTAATTCCGAATAGCTCTTTAGAAGAAAAATATTTTTGATATGTCGAATATCTCATAAGACTCACTAAACTCCCCGTGTCTATCAACGCTTTAAAAGAAATTCCTGGTTTATTTATACTATATATTCGCACGCACGCATTGTCTTTATTTTTGTGTCCTTGTTCTGTTACGTATATAGTATCTTCTTCTATTGCCGACTCGGCGCTATTCTCTTCCTCTTGCTTAATCATATGACTCGCTGCCGCCCCTGTGCTGGTTCCTCTTTTCGGACACGATAGGCTGATATGTCCTTCTTGGCCGCATTTAAAACACGTCATTTTCCTTTGTTTGCACTCCCTGGATATATGCCCTGGCTGCTTACAGTGAAAACACGTTCGACTAGTCCCGCTTGACTGTTAAGATCCTTTGTCTTCTCGACGACCTTGGCTTCCGAAACGTATATTGGTATCAAATTTTTTGTGTATTACTGTATCTTCCGTTATTCTTCTCACATGCTCCAGGAAATCTGGAATGTTCGTGATCCATGTGCTCAATACCATTTTTCTCAGCACCGGATCTTTTACACCATCCGCCAATAAGTCTATTTTTTCCTTCTCCGAAAGAGAAAGCGACTGCATCAGACCAAGCTTGTCTTCTGCATAATCGATAAACTTTTCGTTATACGATTTCGATATTCTTCGACTCACTCTTGCTAGTGTGGCTGTGTAGGTCTCCTTAAGTTCAAAATGCCGCCTTATACGATATTTAAATTCTTCCCAGGTTGCCACTTCTTCCGATATCTGTCTGTTGTACCAATCCAGTGCTCTATTTTTTAACTGACTCACTGCAGCTAATACTAGCACCTCATTACTTAAATGATAAAGGCGTGCCACACTCGTAATTCTGTCCAGCCACTTAACCACGTTTTCTTCCTCCTTCCCCGCGAATACCGGTATCAACTTCGTGGCAAATTTTATTTGCTGCCAATTATTTGAACTTGCATTACTATCTGCGCTTGCCGGACTTCCACCTCTCATCCATTGTTCCCTTGACGGCGGTACGGCTCGCGTACCACCGCTGGCTCCTCTTTGCCTTTCTTTCAACACTTGCACTACCGCGCTCACGATATCTTGAATATTTTTTCCGGAATGTGCGTTTGAAACACCGGATGAACCCGCAGCTGGACCTCTGTGCGATGACTCCAAACGCTCTGACAGCGGCGCTCCTCTTGTCTCCTGTCGCTCTATCTCACTCCCTGGTGGATTTCTCGCGACGCCCGCGTCCTGCGGATTCTGTACCTCTGCTCCGCTGTCCTCTTCTGCTCCGCTCGCCTGGTCCCACATATCCGATGATTGCGGCCAACCCACACGATCGTAATAATACGCTACTCTTTCAAATATTTTTGAACGTGTACCGCTCGTCTTCAAATTTAATTTTGAAGCTAACGCTCGAAGCTTATTTATCGAAAGTGCCTCTAAATTCTCTCGATTCATACTCGTTTCCAAAGGTCGGTCACCAAAACAAACATGTTGTCTGTTAATTTTCGAACGCCTATGGTTCCGCCTGCGACCTTCGTATTTTTCCGCCCTCAGGAATCTTCTAAAAGAAAGCCTCAATATATTTTATCGCGTTTCCTTTACCGTAATTTTTTAGCGATCACGTGTAATTTCCTCGCCCATATACTTCGATTTTTCTCTTATCGTATACCACATGTGAGTCCCTCACTCACGTGTTTTGGATTGAATCCCACTTCTGAATTTTGCTGTACGCTTCCGGATAATAAATCGCTACATTTAATTTATTTTGAACAATACTTTATTATATTCTTGTACCGAACTCCTAATAGCTCTACGTTCTCAACCACTTAACTTTAACTGATATTACTCTCGAACTATTAGCACACGCTCTCGCTCCGATATTCACGCTCCGCTCCGCTTTCGCTCTCAACTCGCTCTGCTCCGCTTTCGCTCTCCACTCACTCATCCTATTCCCCACTGTACGTTTTTCGATATCAGCGCGACTCTGTTCAATTATACTAAATAGCTCCGATTTCCTAACTTATCGGCATTTATAATTCTCTTCTATTTCAGGCGCGTACAATAGTTTGTAATTGTACCTTTATCAAGAGAGACAGCACATCGTAATGTACAATAGATCTATATTACAATATATTACAATTTTTAGATAGTTATAAAAATACATAAAGAAGGCGAATCCATAAACGCACCAATTCTGGCACTTCCGCGTTATTATTGTATGACGAACAAGACATATGTCATTTTCGGTGGCTTAGGTGGTTTTGGCTTAGAATTAACCGATTGGTTGATCATTCGAGGCGCCGAGAATCTCGTGCTGATTTCGCGCACAGGAATAAAGAACGGATATCAGGAAATGAAGATTGATTTATGGAAGTCTTACGGAGTAAAAATATTGATCTTATCGAACCTTGACGCGTCAAACGTCAATGATTGCGAACATATATTAAAAACAGCGGAAAAGCTGGCGCCTGTAAATGCTGTATTTAATCTTGTTGTGGTGTTGAACGATAAGATCTGCCAGAATCATACTGTAGAAACATTTCAAGAGCCATTTAAAGCAAAAACTTTGGCGACGAAGAACTTGGATCGATTGTCTAGAAAGATATGTCTCCAGCTTCGACATTTTGTTGTGTTCTCTTCAGTTTCCTGCGGTAGAGGCAATGCCGGACAGAGCAATTACGGTATGGCAAACTCTGTTATGGAAAGAATTTATGAGAGAAGAGTGCAAGAAGGTTTACACGGACTGGCGGTTCAGTGGGGCGCAGTAGGCGATGTCGGCCTCGTGGCCGACATGCAAGACGACGATAGGGAAATGGTTATTGGCGGAACTTTGCAACAAAAGATAAGCTCCTGCATCGAGAAATTAGAAGAATTTTTGTTACAAGAACATCCCGTAGTGGGGAATATGGTTGTAGCTGAGAAGCGTTCAGACGCTTTTAGCGCAAACAATATTGTTGAAACCGTGGCCAATATTATGGGTAAGATAGTATAGCATAAAAAATTAAGCAATTTAATTATGTGTAATAAAGCGAATTAATTAAGTATAATAAAGCAAATAAAAATATTGTATATTAATATAGGTTTGAAGGATTTGAATAAACAATATAGGCTTGAAGGATTTGAATAACGTGGCTCGCTACACATCTTTGCCCGAGCTCGGCATGGATTCGATGATGGCTGTGGAAATAATTAAACAGTTGGAACGGGAATTTGATGTTTACCTTACAACGCAGGATATTCGTTATCTCAATTTTGCCAAACTTATAGAAATGTTTGACGAAAATACTTCGAACAATAAAAACGTTCGAGATGTGAACGAATTAAATGACATTAAACTGCTCGTTCGTTTGATAGGTAACGATCTAATACCCGATGTGTGTATGGATTTGCCAACAAAAAGGAATATGACGAGAAGCGAAATATTTCTATTGCCAGGAATGGAAGGTTGTGGAAATATATTCGATTCGTTGGTACAACATATCGAAGCTCCAGCAACGTGCTTACAACATGGAGCATATCATATCGGCACGAACTGTACTTCAATAAACGAGATCGCAGATCGTCTTTTAAAAGTATAAATCTTATATTTAATTACGATTATAGTATCTCATAGAACATTAGAATAACAGAGTAAAATTAATATAGTATTATTTCTCAACGTGTTTTACTATATTTTATAATTTTGTATTTGTTTGTAGCATATTTTGAGCAAAAAGAAATTGAATCAGGATTTTGTAATAGTGGGTTATTCAATGGGATCTTTGATCGCAATTGAGTTAGTGCGAAAGTTAGAAGGCATGAATCTTCAAGGCAGATTAGTGCTTATCGATGGCGCACCTGAGCAAGTGAAAGCATTAGTAAATAATTATTTATCTTTTAATACGTTTAGTGAACTCGAAAATAATATTCTTTTGAGTATAATGGATATTATACAACCAGTACTTAGTGGAAAGGTATATTATATTTATAGAAATTTTCTTTGAATGAGTTATTTTTTAATAAGAGTTACTATTAATCTAATTTTTACAGCTTCTTTTGGAGTTAAATAAATGCACCAACTGGGATGAAAAATTAGATGTTTTTACAAATTATGTTTCTCCAATTTATAGAAAATTGTCAGTTGACAATAACAAATCTTTGTGTACAACAATTTACGAGCGGGTAATCGCTGTTCATGAATATGATGTTACACAATTCCCGAAAATTGAAACACCGATAATCCTTTTAAAGCCTATGATACAATCATTGTCTTTTTCTCAGGAAAATTACGGTTTACATAAGGTAAGTTGTATGGTGATTATAAAAAGATTACTTGTATAGCAGAATTACTTTATAGCTAAATAATTTTCAGATTACTAAAGATTTACCTATTAATATTGGTGTAAGAACTCGATTAAAACGTTCGACTTGCCCATTAGCCCGGGCGTACCGAAGGCAATCAAAACGTGTTGGATTGATTCTTCCTCCATGAATTTCGCAAATAATTGCGAGGTAAAACACGTCCCTCGATCGCTTATTAAACGCCTGGGCTTGCTGTACACACAAAAATAATCTTTCAAATGCCGTATCACTTCTTCGGTTTTCGTCGTTTTACAGGAATACAATTTTATAAATTTCGTGAAACCGTCAATCAAAGATAACACGTATCGATACCCTTTCCCCGTCTTTTCCAAAAGACCGTAATGATCTACGTGCACCGTCTGAAACGGCAATTTCCCTTTAGGAATATTATGCAGATATTCTTTTAATTTTTCAGAGGTCGGAGAAAATTCTATGCATTTTAAACAATTAGATATATATTCGCGCACCCTCTCCTTCAGGTTCGAAAACCAATAAACTTTGGTTATCCTGTCAACAACTTTATCAATTCTGAGGTGACTTAGATCGTCATGACAAGCACGAATTACATTAGACTCCATACACTTAGGGACATAAAATAATAGTTTCTTATTTTTAAATTTACGATAAACTAAACCATCTCTCAATTCGTAAAATTTATCTTCGGCTTTTTCTAACTTATTTCGTATTTCACCAATTTCTTTATCTTTATCTTGCCGAATCGACAATGTTTGCTCGAATGTATTTGCTTCTACAATTAATATACTATTACAGCGACTCAATGCGTCAACGTGAGACATACGTTTACCCGCACGGTGTTCAATCTTAAAATCATAATTTTGTAGTAATAGGGCCCATCTATAAATACGCGGGTTAACTCAGAACGCGGTTAACCGTTTGCTTACTCAGAGTGAGGCGAAAGCTATCGCAATCCGTAACGATCGTAAACGGAATTCCAGACAAATAAACACCTAAAAAAAACCTCACAAAGGTAAAAAAAAATACGCCAAGTATATAAAAAAATCCCAACTTATACGCAAAAAAAGTTTAATATCTATCCCTACAAAATAACTTTTAAAAAAATTTTTCCTTGAAAAATAATTTTCATACCAAATAAAAAACTAAAAAATGATTTTCCTTTAAAAAATAACTCTAAAAAATAAAAACCTTTGAAAAATCAAAAATCAAAACTAAATGAAATCAATAAATCCGAATGAAATGAAATCCGGATAAGCTACTTGGTAGCGTCGCGGCCCCTGTACATAGGCAACATAGGCAAACCGTTGACAAGCCGAAACGTTTTTTTTATATACTTGGCGTCGCAACGCTACCGCGTCGCATGATATGAAATCTCTTTATCGCGTATACGGCCGTCAAGCACTCCAGCTCAAAGCTGTGATATCGTGCTTCCGTCGTCGTTGTTCTGCGACTAAAATATGACACAGGTCGCATAGTTTCATCATTCTGTCTCTGCAATTAAATCGCTCCGAATCCACTCGCGCTAGCATCACAATGCAATTCTGTCAATAATTTCGGCGAGTAGATAGCGAGAATCGGCTGTGACAACAACATCTCCTTTAACAATTCAAATACGCGATTTTCTTCGGGACCAAATTGAAAAGTTGCATTGTTCCAAACCAAATCGTAAAGCGGTTTTGCTATAATTGAAAAATTTGTAATAAATCGTCGAAAATAACTTGTGAGGTACACAAATCTGTGGACATCCCTCGTATTACGCGGTACTGGAAAGTTAATAACAGATTCTATTAGGTGTACAAATAAGTTTCCGCCGTTTTTTATCAAAAATTGGGCATTTATTGTGAAAGAACGGAACCTAATGTTTTATTTGAAGTATTGTCCATCGCTTGCCACTACTTTTTCCCATCTTTCTGGCAGCATACGGATACCGCATCGGAAGAATGCTTCATCTTTTGAGGCTATCCACGAATCGACCCAATTTTTGGTATCTTCATATGATGTGAAGTGTTGCTCAGACAGGCCATGCGCCATCGATCTAAACATGTGGAAATCAGAAGGAGCAATGTCTGGTGAATACGGCGGCTGGGGTAAAACTTCCCAACTGAGTGTTTCCAAATAGGTTTTGACCGGCGCCGCAACATGTGGACGAGCATTATCATGCAGGAGAATAACTTTGTCGTGTCTGGTGTAGTGGGCGCGCTTTTCCTTGAGTGCTCGACTCAATCTCATCAATTGTGTTCGGTAGACAGCCCCAGTAATGGTTTCGTTCGGTTTGAGCAACTCATAATACACGACACCAAGCTGATCCCACCAAATGCATAACAAGAGTTTTTTTCCATGAATATTAGGCTTAGCTGTAGATGTTGAAGCATGGCCAGGTGGTCCCCATGATTTCTTCCTTTTTGGATTATCATAGTGGATCCATTTTTCATCACCAGTGACTATACGGTGCAGAAAACCTTTTCGTTTACGCCTGGCAAGCAGCATTTCACATGTGAACAATCGGCGTTCAACGTTTCTCGGCGTCAGTTCATATGGAACCCAATTTCCTTGTTTTTGAATCAATCCCAATGATTGCAACCGATGTGAAATTGCTTGTTGAGTCACTCCCAATGTAAGTGCAAGTTCTTCTTGCGTTTGGCACGAATCTTGATCCCATAATGCTTCCAATTCCGCGTCTTCATACACTTTCGGCCTTCCGCTACGTTCTTTGTCTTCGATGTCAAATTCACCGTTCTTAAACTTTTGAAACCACTCACGACAACTTCTCTCACTTAAGGCAGCCTCACCATATGCTTCTACAAGCAATCGATACGCCTCAGCTGCAGATTTCTTCAAATTGAAGAAGTAAATCAAAAGTTCCCGCAAATGACGCTTATTCGGCTCAAAACTCGACATTTTCGCACACAAAAGAATATATTATACTGATAAAAAATCACTAATATTTTAAGGTTATGTTATTGACTGATGTCCAATCTTACGATAAGGACGTTTTACATCTGACAATTTTAACCATAACTTACTGGTGGCGCCAACTTTTATCAAACGGCGGGAACTTATTTGTACACCTAATACATTTACTGCACTGGGTCGAATGCCGCTCTTACTGATCAAATAACCAAGATAAACAATCTCGCGACGCATAAACGAACACTTATCTAAGCGAAATTGCAACCTGTAACGTCGGGCCAAATTGAAAACCCCGCCAAGAATCTTCAAATGCTCGTCAATATTTTCGGTAGCAATCAATATATCATCAAGATATATCAATACCTTGTTTTCTCGGATTAGGTCACGAAAAATGTCATTAACATATCGCTGAAACACCCGCGGAGCATTCGTCAATCCAAAGGGCACCCTCAAAAATTCAAACTGACCCAAAGGCGTCACACAAGAAGTATATTTTACGGATTCATCGGCGATTTTTACGTGATGAAATCCGTCCCGCAAATCGAGGCTAGAAAAATAAGATTTATCGCGCAATCGATCCAAATGGTCGTCAATCAGAGAAGTCGGAAAATTATCCCTTACAGTTATTTTGTTCAAATCGCGATAATCAACGCATAATCGTGGTTCACCGCTTTTTTTTACGTACCAGCACAATCGGAAAAGCATATGGCGAATCGTTTGGTCTAATTGTCCGCTCACGCAACAATTTGTCCAATATCTGACTTAATTTCTCCTTGTCAGCAAATGAAAGTCTTTGCGGTCTAAAACTAATAAGTCGATCATGAGTCAAGTTAATAGTCATTTCGATTTTCTTTGAAGGACTTATATCCCCTGTTTCTGCAACGTACTCGCTCTTATACAATTGCTCAATACGCTTCGTTGTTTTGAAATCAAGATTCGGATCGATATTCAACGTTTCGGCAACGGATGACGGATGGTCAATATATGAAACATGCAAGATTTGCTTAGAAAAATCCGCGCTGTCAACCGATTGCGAGCCTGCTCTCGAGATACTAATTTTCTCTCCTAACAATATTTTAACCAGGGGTGACAAAGTAAAATCTCTACCGAGTAAGACGGCACAAGTTATTGCAGTATTCGGTACTACAAAAAAGTTAATTTTCAATTCAATATCATCTACGACAACCTTTACAAAAATTCCCAAAATTTTTAACTTTGTACCGTTAATACCATAAAAAGACTGATTTTCCGTAACCGGAGTACAAACATGAGCAGGAACAAAATCATTTTTTATTAAACTTATTGGAGATCCCGAATCGATCATCGCTATAAGCAAATATTTACATTTATTCTCCAACTCGTCCGCGACCGAATACGAAAGAGATACCAAATATGGAGCGCTCGGTAAAGATACTTGGACCATGTTCGTTGTATTTTTCGTCCTTGGCCGTGACTTATTATTAGGGCAATCTCTTATACGATGCTCCGTATACGGGCTATCGCATCCAAAACAAGAACCCTTTTCGCGCTTCTGTTCCTGTTTGCACTCCCTGGAGAGATGTCCGGCCGCTCCACAATTATAGCAGCGAATAAAATTATTTCGTGCTGCAGGAGCTCCTCCTTCACGTGGCGATTTTGATGATGTCGCTAGTCCCTCTCTAAAAAAGGCATGTTAACTGAGTGAATCCAATTTGTATCGAAGTATTGAGGCCTCTTTTCCGCGATGCTGATTGGTTCTCTCGAAGTTCGCGTCGCGGCGCGCTTCGTGTCGTATGTATGGCTGTCATAGCCAAGTCGTATCGAAACGTTTGACAGTTTGCGGTTAAATTTCATTTGATTTTGAAGACGAGGCTTGTATTACGAAATCCTTTTTTGTGAAGGAATTATTAAAGAAGATAAAGAAAACAAAAAGAGAGAAGAGAGAGATAAGAATAAGGACACAGAAAGATAAGAAGAACACAGAGAGAGAGGTATGTTCTTTATATTCGTAATTTTTATAGATAATTCATACAATAATAGAAAGAGCTAACAGAGCCGGCGCAAGTTATAAAGTGAATATGCGTATTTATAACCATTTAGAACGCATTATACTTAGATATATATAGATGAAACGTTTCGGTCTTGAATTAGACTTTCCTCAGTCCTCATACTATGATCAAGTTATTAAAATAAATAATAAATAAAATGCATACAAATACGATCTTTTATCGGCGGGTATATTTTACTTGCATTAAATAATTTGCTACATAGACCATCCGCACTGCACGATACTACATTCTTCATGCTCATCAAAATGTCGAGGAGTAATCGTCAGTGCATCTTGCACATTTATCTTGCGGCTTATCTTGACATTTGACTATTATGTGACGATGTACCGATTTTACTCGAAAACATTATCTTACAACCACGACTTGATTGTACTTTCTCGTTTTTATCATTTTGCGACTATCTGCGGACTCGTATTTATTTTATGCATTTTATTTATTAATTTTTGTTTTAATAATTAGACTATAATATCACTGAGGAGGGTCTAATTTAAGACCGAAATATTTAATTTATGTATATCTAAGTAAATCTAATGCGTTCTGAACGGTTATAAATACACATACGTACTTTCTAATTTGCACCGGGTCTATTAGCACTTTCTATTATTGTATTATTTATATTAGAGCCTATCGATCTATTATTATAGTTGAAATTTGTGTATATAAATTTAATTAAACATGTAGTCAATATTAGTATTTTTTTAGCGTTTAGTCCTTTTTGTGAGGAATTATTAAAGAAATTAAAGAAAAGAGAAAGAGAGAAGAGAGAGATAAGAATAAGGACACAGAGAGATAAGAAGAACACGGAGAGAGAGAGGTATGTTCTTTATATTCGTAATTTTTATAGATGATTCATACAATAATAGAAAGAGCTAATAGAGCCAGCGCAAGTTATAAAGTGAATATGCGTATTTATAACCATTTAGAAAGCATTACACTTAGATATATGTATATACATTTTTCATTAAGTACTTTTTGAATTATTTTATATTTGTTCTGACATATTTTGATATAAAAAATAAAATATCTCGTAAAATATTCAGTTTTTGATAATCTTACCGTAATACTTTTATGTACAGAATAATGAGACGAATCAATTAGTGTAAAGAAAAAAACAAATAATTGTTTAAAAAAATACATAGTAAATAATTACATACTTTTTCTTAAAAACAATTATTTTTTTTAGGAACGGATATTTTAATATGCCAAATTTGTAAAAAACGCGGTCATAGCGCCGATAAGTGCCGTTTCCGTGATCCTCAATCTCGGCAGACAATAAATGTGGTACAGGAAAAAAGTATCGCTTGTCAAATATGCTCAAAATCTGGCCATAGTGCAAAAACATGTCGACAAAGCAATAATGTTGATGTAAATAATAAAACCGCTGTAACATGTCAATGGTGCGATAAAATGGGACACTCAGCTAAAAATTGCTGGAAGAAGCAAAACGAAGAGCGAAATTCCGAGAATAAACCGAGAGTTACATGCCAGCTTTGCGACAGATTCGGGCATGCCGCTAAAGAATGTCGTCTAAAGGCAAATCAACAATCAAATTCACAGAATATATCATTTTGCCGATACTGCAAGGAAAACGGTCATCTTCTTGAAAATTGTCAGTTGCGTATCAATAGCAATAATAAACGCAAAGACACTAACCAGGGAAACTATACGGGTCCTTCGACGTCGGGTGTGCAACGGGGGGCCGAGCCGACAGTACACCCGCCTGTATCTCGAGAAGTCAAGTAGATTGCGAAACAATAGATATACGCCCCGTAACAGTAAATCTCGACAAACATAGTCGCGTGCCTACTGTTCGGGTAAAAATCAATGAAATAACCACTCAAATAACTTTCATGCTCGATACGGGATCTGGTCCGAATATAATTAAAGAACATCTTATACCTGAGGATATAAAAATCAATTATACAAATATACTAAAATTAAACGGGATAAATAATTACCCAGTGTATACTCTTGGGGAAATCACATTAAATCTTTTTAAAACACCCGTATCTTTCCATATAGTATCTCACGACTTTCCGATTCCGCAATCTGGTATACTAGGAAATGACTTCTTTAAGCAAACATCTTCAAAAATAGATTACGCGCAAGGACAATTGGATGTCTCCGGAATAAACATACCCTTCTTCTCTCCAGAAACCATTACAGTATCTCCCAGGTCGGAATCACTATTCTACGTAAGAATAGGAAATCCCGAAGTAAAAACGGGATATATACCAAGATTAAAACTAGAGCACGGAATTTATTTGGGAGATACTATAGTGGAAAACATTTCCGGAAAAGCTTATCTGAACGTTATAAGCACCTTGGATGAAGAAGTGGAAATTCGAGTACCAACATTGCACTTGAAACCACTAGGTGAACTATTAGATAATCATGAATTGAATGACGAGACATGAAATAACCGCGAGAATTTTCCAAACTCACAAGGAAAACTTGTGAGCAGTAAAGTAAAGAGAGACAACCTTGAAAGCAATGATGACATTATTTTTGAAGAAATCCAAAATAAATATGAAGATAGTCAAAAATCTATTGTTATTGAAAAAATCAATCACGAAAACGAAGACGAAATGTTAAATCAAGAGGAAAATAAAAATGAGAATGAGAATATGATTGAAGACAAAATAAAGAATAAGAATGAGAAGAAAATTAAAACTAACTTAAATAAAAATTCAAATAATTCTAAAACCCATGGAGAAGGAAGTTACCAAACCTCTCCAGAAGAAATTAATTCTAGAACTTCTGAGAGAAATTTCCAAACCTCGACAGAAAATTCTAGCTCCTTAAATTGTGAGGAGGGAAATTACCAAACCTCTTCTGAAAAACTTAATAATCCAACCATTGGAGGGGGAAGTTACCAAACCTCTCCAGAAAAAATTAATTCTAGAATTTCGGAGGGAAGTTTCCAAACCTCGACAGAAAATTCTAGTTCCGTCAATTGCGGGGAGGGAAATTACCAAACCTCATTACGCAATTCGACACAATCTAATCCTGAGGAAGGGAAAAATTCCTTAACCTCGCTGGATATTAAGTTTCCAAGAATTGGATTATCATCAGAAAATAATAATAACAATAGAAAATCCTCTCATGTCACAATAAAAGACCTCCTAAAAAAGGCACAAGAATATAAATTAAATATTAAAGATTTAAGCATCAAAAATAATCAAAGCATCAAATGTAAAAATAAACCATCTTCGAAAATTTCAACTGCTTTATTGCATAAATCTCAAGAGATCATAGATAAATTTATGAGAAAATGTAAATCGAAAAATAAAAAAGAGCGACAAGATAACATCGCAATTTCTGATCTGCATAATTGTTTAATAATATCCGAAGAAACGAAGGAAGATAGATTTACACGAATTATAGATTTATTGCGATTAGAACACTTGAATAAAAAAGATCAGGAAAACGTAATAAAATTAATAACAAGTCAAGATCGATTTCATATTCCCGGAGAGAAATTAACTGCGACTCATGTAATACAACATCAAATACCAACTACGGATAATCACCCAATTAATACTCGTCAATACAGATTTCCGCAAATACATAAGGAAGAAATAAATAGGCAGGTAGAAGAACTCTTAGAAGGAGATATAGTAAAACATTCACAGTCACCATACAATACGCCTATATGGATTGTGCCAAAGAAAGATTCAAAAGGAAATAAACGTTGGAGAATGGTCCTCGATTTCCGTGCCTTAAACGATAAAACTATTGGAGATGCTTATCCTTTGCCAAATATTATTGACATATTAGATCAATTAGGAGGAGCGCAATATTTCTCAGTATGCGATCTTGCGTCCGGATTTCATCAAATAAAAATGGATCCTGCCGATAGTCATAAAACAGCTTTTACCACTCCATTCGGACATTACGAATTTGACCGAATATCCTTCGGATTAAAAAACGCGTCTGCAACTTTTCAACGCTTAATGGATTTGGTACTAACGGGATTACAAGGCGAGGAATTATTTGTTTACATGGATGACATTGTTATTTACGCGACTTCTTTAGAAGAACATGAACGAAAATATAACGCATTAATAGAGCGACTTCGTAAAGCAAATTTAAAATTCCAACATGATAAATGTGAATTTCTAAAGACCGAAGTAACATATCTAGGGCATGTAATCGGCAGAGACGGAGTAAAACCAGATCCGAAGAAATTAGAAGCAGTACGACATTTTCCAAGACCAAAAACACCGAAAAATATTAAACAGTTT